ATCACTGTATACAGTACAGAACATACCTGTATACAGTACAGAACAATTTTGAACAGTACGTTTCTATCTTTGTTCTATACAATATGAAGTTCGCATTCTCGAGATAATGCTTCTTTGACAATGCGGTTACCAGTCATTGGTTGCGTTGAAAATCAGAATTTGACAGTGTGTTTAACAAACTTACGACGGCGGATAATTAGTTGGAAAATTTGGGGACGAAATGCAGGTATCTTCGTTCAGAGTTAACACTTCTAAACGGGATTCATCAGGTGTACCGCAGGCTTTTTCTGTATGAAAATAAATAACCAACCTTACATCAGTAATGCCCGGACAACCACATATACTATTCTAAATACAACTGAAGATAATAATCAACCTAGCGCACAGTCAATATCATCTGCATGTTTTAATGTGTTATAAAGTATAGTTACAATTATAACCAAGATTAAATTTTAAAAAAGTCACCCCATTAAATCAATATTCATAAGCAATAATAATTACTTTCTATGTTAAATAAAATCCATGATGGAAATTAGTACAATTTTGTAACGAAGTATATGTGTTCATAATCATAATCACTTCTGTCACTCAGTAGTTGTGTTTACTCTATACTGTCACTAGGGAGTTGTCTATGTTGTGTTTACTCTATACTGTCACTAGGGAGTTGTCTATGTTGTGTTTACTCTATACTGTCACTAGGTAGTTGTCTATGTTGTGTTTACTCTATACTGTCACTAGGGAGTTGTCTATGTTGTGTTTACTCTATACTGTCACTAGGTAGTTGTCTATGTTGTGTTTACTTCATACTGTCACTAGGTAGTTGTCTATATTGTGTTTACTCTATACTCTCACTAGGTAGTTGTCTGTGTTGTGTTTTCTCTATACTGTCACTAGGGACTTGTCTATGTTGTGTTTCCTCTATACTGTCACTAGTGATTTCTCTATGTTGTGTTTACTTCATACTGTCACTCGGTAGTTGTCTATATTGCGTTTACTCTATACTCTCACTAGGGAGTTGTCTATCTTGTGTTTACTCTATACTCTCACTAGGTAGTTGTTTGTGTTGTGTTTACTCCATACTGTCACAAGGAAGTTGTCTGTGTTGTGTTTACTCTATACTGTCACTAGGAAGTTGTTTGTCTTGTGTTTACTCCATACTGTCACTAGGAAGTTGTCTGTGTTGTGTGTTTACTCTATACTCTCACTAGGTAGTTGTCTGTGTTGTGTTTACTCTATACTCTCACTAGGTAGTTGTCTGTGTTGTGTTTACTCTATACTGTCACTAGGTAGTTGTCTGTGTTGTGTTTACTCTATACTGTCACTAGGTAGTTGTCTATGTTGTGTTTACTCTATACTCTCACTAGGTAGTTGTCTATGTTGTGTTTACTCCATACAGTCACTAGGTAGTTGTCTATGTTGTGTTTACTCTATACTGTCACTAGGTAGTTCTCTATGTTGTGTTTACTCTATACTCTCACTAGGAAGTTGTCGGTGTTGTGTTTACTCCATACTGTCACTAGGTAGTTGTCTATGTTGTGTTTACTCTATACTCTTACTAGGTAGTTGTCTATGTTGTGTTTACTCCATACTGTCACTAGGTAGTTGTCTATGTTGTGTTTACTCTATACTCTCACTAGGAAGTTGTCTGTGTTGCGTTTACTCCATACTGTCACTAGGTAATTGTCTGTATTGTGTTTACTCTATACTGTCACTAGGTAGTTCTCTATGTTGTGTTTACTCTATACTCTCACTAGGTAGTTGTCTATATTGTGTTTACTCCATACTCTCACTAGGTAGTTGTCTATATTGTGTTTACTCTATACTCTCACTAGGTAGTCGTCTATGTTGTGTTTACTCTATACTCTCACTAGGAAGTTGTCGGTGTTGTGTTTACTCCATACTGTCACTAGGTAGTTGTCTATGTTGTGTTTACTCTATACTCTCACTAGGAAGTTGTCTGTGTTGTGTTTACTCCATACTGTCACTAGGTAATTGTCTGTGTTGTGTTTACTCTATACTGTCACTAGGTAGTTGTCTGTGTTGTGTGTTTACTCTATAATGTCACTAGGGAGTTGTCTATGTTGTGTTTACTCTATACTGTCACTATGTAGTTGTCTGTGTTGTGTTTACTCTATACTGTCGCTGGGTAGTTTTCTACTTTGTTTGATTCCCCGAACTGATTGCAATTTAGATTTATATATAGTTGTTTTTACCTGTATCGCTGCCAATTGCTGCAATATATTGAAATGTTACTTCCCCATTTTTGGTGAGATCGGCTGTAACTGTTGCTATATGAGATTTCGTTGACGTTAATTCTTTAGTCTCTGTTGTGGTCACTGTTACAAGTTTACTACCTACAACATGGTAGTGTGGTTAACCTATCAATTTATCAATGGTTAACCTAATACTTATATTTCTTAAGCATAAACATTGAAAACATGATATAGGTAAGACACGTATATACATTTACTATAACATGACTATAGACTATCAAGGTAACATACGTATACTATAACATGAAGGTAGGCTATCAAGGTAAGACACGTATATACATTTGCTATAACATGACTATAGACTATAAAGGTAAGACACGTATATACATTTACTATAACATGACTATAGATTATAAAGGTAAGACCCGTATATACATTGAGTATAACATGACTATAGACTATCAAGTTAAGACACGTGTATACATTAACTATAACATGACTATAGACTATCGAGGTAAGACACGTATATACATTTACTATAACATGACTATAGATTATAAAGGTAAGACCCGTATATACATTGAGTATAACATGACTATAGACTATCAAGTTAAGAGACGTGTATACATTAACTATAACATGACTATAGACTATCGAGGTAAGACACGTATATACATTTACTATAACATGAAGGTAGACTATCAAGGTAAGACACGTGTATACATTTACTATAACATGACTATAGACTATTAAGGTAAGACACGTATATAAATTTACTATAACATGAAGGTAGACTATCAAGGTAAGACACGTATATACATTTACTATATCATGACTATAGACTATCAAGGTAAGACACGTATATACATTTACTATAACATCAAGGTAGACTATCAAGTTAAGACACGTATATACATTTACTATAACATGACTATAGACTATCGAGGTAAGACACGAATATACATTTACTATAACATGACTATAATCTATCAAGGTAAGACACGTGTATACATTTACTATAACTTGACTATAGACTATCAAGGTAAGACACGTATATACATTTACTATAACATAAAGGTAGACTATCAAGGAAAGACACGTATATACATTTACTATAACATGACTTTAGATTATCAAGGTAAGACACGTATATACATTTACTATAACATGACTATAGACTATCAAGGTAAGACACGTATATACATTTACTATATCATGACTATAGACTATCAAGGTAAGACACGTATATAGATTTACTATAACATGACTATAGACTATCAAGGTAAGACACGTATATACATTTACAATAACATGAAGGTAGACTATCAAGGTAAGACCCGTATATACATATACTATAACATGACTATAGACTATCAAGGTAAGACACGTATATACATTTACTATAACATGACTATAGACTATCGAGGTAAGACACGTATATACATTTACTATAACATGACGATAGACTATCGAGGTAAGACAAGTAGATACATTTACTATAACATGATTATAGACTATCAAGGTAAGACACGTATATACATTTACTATAACATGACTATAGACTATCGAGGTAAGACACGTATATACATTTACTATAACATGACTATAGACTATCAAGGTAAGACACGTATATATATTTACTGTAACATGACTAAAGACTATCAAGGTAAGACACGTATATACATTTACTATAACATGACTATAGACTATCAAGGTAAGACACGTATATATATTTACCGTAACATGACTAAAGACTATCAAGGTAAGACACGTATATACATTTATTATAACATGACGATAGACTATCGAGGTAAGACACGTAGATACATTTACTATAACATGACTATAGNAGGTAAGACACGTATATACATTTACTATAACATGACTATAGACTATCAAGGTAAGACACGTATATACATTTGCTATAACATGACTATAGACTATCAAGGTAACATACGTATATACATTTACTATAACATGAAGGTAGACTATCAAGGTAAGACACGTATATACATTTACTATAACATGACAATAGACTATCAAGGTAAAACACGTATATACATTTACTATAACATGAAGGTAAACTATCAAGGTAAGACACGTATATACATTTATTATAACATGACTATAGACTACCAAGGTAAGACACGTATATACATTTGCTATAACATGACTATAGACTATCAAGGTAACATACGTATATACATTTACTATAACATGAAGGTAGACTATCAAGGTAAGACACGCATATACACTTACTATAACATGACTATAGACTATCAAGGTAAGTCACGTATATACATTTACTATAACATGACAATAGACTATCAAGGTAAAACACGTATATACATTTACTATAACATGAAGGTAAACTATCAAGGTAAGACACGTATATACATTTATTATAACATGACTATAGACTATCAAGGTAAGACACGTATATACATTTACTATAACATGACTATAGACTATCGAGGTAAGACGGGTATATACATTTACTATAACTTGACTATAGACTATCAAGGTAAGACACGTGTATAAATTTACTATAACATGACTATAGACTATCAAGGTAAGACACGTATATACATTTACTATAACATGAAGGGAGACTATCCAGGTAAGACACGTATATACATTTACTATAACAGGACAATAGACTATCAAGGTAAGACACGTATATACATTTACTATAACATGACTATAGACTATCAAGGTAAGACACGTGTATAAATTTACTATAACATGACTATAGACTATCAAGGTAAGACACATATATACATTTACTATAACATGAAGGTAGACTATCAAGGCAAGACACGTATATACATTTACTATAACATGAAGGGAGACTATCCATGTAAGACACGTATATACATTTACTATAACAGGACAATAGACTATCAAGGTAAGACACGTATATACATTTACTATAAAATGACTATAT